GTTGTGCCATTGTCACTTGGTATGCTTATATTTCGAGGCAGGTTTTGACTGGTTGGCCAGCGCTGTCACTTACAGGCTTTTTCAGGATAATGGGTGGAATGGCCGTCCCTTCTTGCGGGTCAAAACGTGTGGGCTATAAAAACCAATTATGCTTATACTGTGAGGCAGTTTTTGACTCCTTGGCGCTGTCAGCTATAGCGTTTCTAGAATAACGAATGGAATGGTCCTCAGCTTGCTTGCGAGTCAAAACCTGTGCCATTGTCACTTGATATCTTATATTTCGAGGCAGCTTTTGACTCCCTGGCGCTGTGAGAGCTGTAGCGTTTTAGGAAAACGAACGGAATGGACGTACCTGCTACGAGTCAAAAGTTGTGCCATTGTCAGTTGGTATGCTTATATTTCGAGGCAGGTTTTGACTGGTTGGCTAGCGCTGTCGCTTACAACGTTTTTCAGGATTATGGGTGGAATGGCCGCCCCCGCTTGCGAGTCAAAAGCTGTTCCATTGAAACCGGTTATGCTTATAATAGAAGGTGACTTTTGACTTCACACCATGTGGGGTAATGGAAAGGCTGCGGCACGTGTGTCTCGAAGCTGAGACATAGGAGTTTGTCAAGGGCCGGGGGACTGTGCTTCTCGCGACATCGAAGGAGCAGCGGCAAACTTGGTACGTGATACGGGCTACGAGTCGTGCACGAAAGGCTTAGGAGAATAGAAAAGGTGCATCCTTTCCAACTTGCTCCAGTAATTGCCAGGTCCGACATGAGTTACGAGATGATGGAAGGCCCCAGCGCAAGGTCCGTACCGCCCCCCCTCGTGCCCGCAGAAGCCGTGCAGCATTGGGAGAGGCGAGAGGGCCGCTTCGTTTGTCTCGAGCGTCACCCGATCGAACCCGAAGCCATATGCGAAAAGACGTTTGCATCCAAGCAGGCCCTAGAGGCCCACCGTTCGAGGACGGGTTGCGAGCCTGCAAAGCTACCCAACGATCGGCGCATCTCGAGGTTCTTTCAATTGACACCAGAGGCGGCTCGTCAAGTGAAGCATCAAGGCAATCAAACTGCGGTTTCGACATACAGAAAGACGTTCAAGGGAGAGAGAGCCACCTTTCGAGCCCGACATTTGGCAGAGTACACAGAACGGGCGTTGATTGCCGTTCCCGACCCTGAAAAGCCCAAGGTGCCCGAGTACGTGGCACCCCCGATCTCGTGGCTGCTCGCGGGCGCACAGTTGACGTCGCAGGAAGCGAGAACCATGCTCGATTCTGGCGAGCTGCACATGAACCACAGAACGTGGTCTCTACAGTACCATCCCGACAAGGTCGAGGTCAGTGATCCTCACGATTTTCGAGACCACTTAAAAAGTGAGCAACAAAAGTGTACATACAAAGGTAATCGTGTACATTCATTGACAATCGTGTACATTGATCAATAATCATGAAAAAGGTACTAAATACTAACACGGCCTTCCTACTTTGCAGTGGAAAAGCCCAGAGACTCTGCAAGAATTCGAGCTACACTTCAAAGGGGTACAACCCGAGCTAAACGGAGCAGGCTGCATCGTATCACCTAATAGAGCCCTGTATGCGACGCACTTGTTCGGACCTCTCAATGAAGATCGATTCAAGCCGGGTCAGGTTGCACAGAAGACGGGCGGCATGCTATGGCGGGCCTGGCTGAACGTGGAGGCCGAACTGATCACTTCGTACGCTGTTTACCTGTTGAGGTTTGCAGACTACGAATCGAGGATCAAACGGATCGAGGAAGAGCTCCAGATGTCACGGGCGAGATGGATAGATGATCAGCTAGAGAGGAGGTTTAAGACGTCCATCGCGTTTCGACGGTTGATGCGCAACCAGGATCAGTAGGTTGTGAAATTTTCCAGGCGAGTACCAATAAAGGAGAGTCCATGGACGCCATTCTTGGTTGGAAACCAAGAGAGAATATTGCAATTGTCGAGATGGACCAGCGTGTCCTTGAAAGTGTGCGGTGTGCAATCGTAAGGGCTTATACGGAGATGGGTATCTCACATACGGTGCTCGACATTGGGACTCTCGCTCCAGCAAGGGCGCTCTGCAGACCTTTTTCGTTAAGGCACATCTGCAGAACGACTGTCCGCTCTCTACAACGAGAGGGCTTTGAGGCGGACTGGTATAAAAACGGTTTCCTTGGTTCCCCTTATATGCTTCATATAAGCTGGAAGATGGCTTTGAAACATGCAAGCCGTGCGCGAAAGGCCGCTCGAAGATCGCATACCCGACATAGAAGGAGAGACGACTTCGTTTCGTCGCATTGCACAGCATCCGAATCCGCTTCCGAGTCACCTGCCGACTCTTCTCATATCTGGGACGATCAAAGCGCCTATGGCTTGGATCTAGAGTGTCTCGCCAATCCATCAAAGGCTCGCTGAGTCCAGATGGATACTATGAATAGCCCAAAGAGGACCCGTTTGCGAATTTCGACCAGCCATATTCACAGTATCTGATGATATTCACTTATCCCGGGAAAATCCAGATTTTTATCTCCCGAATACCAGAGCTACGACCTCCTCTTTACCAGATAATATGCAAAGCTTGGATAGGATATCACTTTTGCAGGGAATTCTCGGACTGAGATATTCATGTATCCAGACCTTCGAGATGCGTCCGTTGGTCGAAATTTTCTCAGAGTATCTGAGATACCACGAATGGCAATCTTTAAGGCAAACGTAAGGACCGTAACCTTACCAGAGACAGAAGAGCTCTTACAGAGGATCTTCGATGATGGTACTCGAAAGCCAGTTACAATCAAGCAGTACATCTCTCATGTCATCAGGCTGTACAGAGGCTTGTTTGGCTCTGAAGCAGAGATTAGTGGTTTTGACTGGCTTAATGATGCAGACAGAGTGATTATGTACTTTACCAAAACGTACTCGGACAAGTTGAGTATGCAAGCGACTGGATTGAACCCTTTACTGGTTATTGTAAAGAAGGAGTTCCCCAAGGATCAAGAGCTCTACCAAACGTACTACAAACAATATCAAACCGTTCGTGATCTCATGGAAAAGGCCAAGCCCCCTCCTCAGATGCTGTCGGAGTCGGAGTATCGAAACTGGAAGACCCTAGATCAAATCAACGAACTTCGAATCGAACTCCAAAGGAAGGTCAATCGAAATATCTTGCCAAAGTCGCCTGATCAGCTCAGTGTCGGCGACAAGGTGATCCTAATGCGCTACTTGGTGCTTTCATTATATACAAATAGCCCAAGCCTCCGAAATGATTTCTCAAATCTGCCAATCATCCGTTTTGAGGATATAGATGGGCCATCAGCAAAAATACTGATGGCCGGAACTGGCAACTACCTCCTTGAGTATGCTAGAGACCAGTATAGAGTGGTGTTGAAAGACTACAAAACGGTGAAAACCCACGGTGTTCAGAATCTCGATTTGCCGCAGCGCACCTGCAACGTCATTTCTGACACTTTGCGTGCTTATCCAAGGCGGTACCTCTTGAGCCGAATGCGCAACGGGAATGAACCGATGAGCCGTAATTACCTGACGGTCTTTTGTAGCAAGATCTTCCCGGACGCTCATGTGGGCACATGTCTACTTCGAAAGATCTGTGTTTCAAATCAGATGAAAGACGCCCCGAGCATTGCTGAACGGCAGGCTTTGGCAAAACAGATGCTGCATAGCCCTGCGATGCAAATGAACACATATGAGAAACACTATCTACCTGATGGATCAAAAATAAACTTCGGTGCTTAAGTCACAATGTACACGAAATGTTGTCATGATTGAGGTTTGAGCGATTCAGATGGCACAAGGCATTAGCAAAGTTCGGTCGCAAGCATGTTCGGCAGTTTCCCGTGGATGAGCGAACCCACATTGGACAGCTTGTAGGCCGTTTTAGCTGGGGTGTCAATTGAAAATCATGCGTTTTGCAATCTTATAATGGTCCGTTTGTGGAGTTTCTTCGTTTGGCCCGCGAGGAAGCGCCCATATGCCTTCTGGAGTAGAATCTTCTCCTGATTCCGATTGTAGTACGCTTTCACGTCCTTATTGTGCTTCTCGGGGTGCATTCGTTGATACCGTCTGTGATTTTCGCAAGCCCGACAGAGGCATCTGTGGATGTTGGCGGGTTCCTGATGGGGCATGTTCTGTCGTGTACTCTAGCTACAAAAAAAACGACCCGTTCGATACACGTGGCCGTGCCGCGTTTGAAACGTCTGAATATTTTCTTGAGGACTGACTATAGAAATCTTGATGGCTTCATCAGCAACCGAGCACAACGCTTTGGCCTGTGACGCCGTTGGCTCTAGGGCGTTGGCCCTTCAGAAGACCAAGGCTCTAGGGCCCCAAGGCATCAAGGCTGAGATCTTGCGCCTAGGCACGCTTGGCTTTTTTGGAATCCCGGTACGCATCTGGTTGAAACGAAACGGCAAGAAAGGCACTAAGTTTCCCAGCAAGTGGGATCACATTGTCACTTCACAGATCTGGAAAGAGAACATCAAAGACATACTTGAAGAGTTTGATAACCCTAATGGTATTGCCATCCTGACGGGTCCAAGTCAGATGTATGTGATTGATGTCGATGTGGGTGGAGAAGGGACAAAACGGTGTGGTTTGAGCCTTTGGAAGAAGCTTATGACCCAACATACGGAGCCTAATACACTCAAAGCAATCACTGGAAATGGGGGTTTCCATCTCTACTTTCGAATGGATCAAAGCACTGGTTTAAAGCAATTGAACAACTTCGGAACCCTGAAAGTCGATGGCAAGACTTACCGAGTCGATGGAAGAGGGACCGGGGGTGTCATATTTGCCCCACCGTCATCCTATGAAGGCCCAAATGGCAAGGTTCTTCAATACAGATGGAGTTCAGAGCCAACTTCGAAAGACGATTGTGTAGAAGAAATCCCAAAATGGCTCGCGGACTGTGTGAATCTCGGACGTGCTTCTGCTGTACCGAATGTACAGTCTTTGCCACAGACAAGCTCAGAAGTCGACCACACAGACACTTTACAAGACTCTGAGGCGATCTCCGGAGATGAGTTGCCCATTCGAACCGTGGTTTCAAACGTGGATTCAAAAGCATACCGTGAAGTGCAAGACCTGCTACGAAAGAACGCTAACGATTGCACAGCCGTATACGGTGGCTCAACTGTGCTCCCAAATGGCAATCGCTCTTTTCAGTTCCGTGTAAATGGCCCAAGAACGTGCTACCTTGGACGACAGCATAACGGCTCTAATAATTTCACTGCAATCCAGGGGTGCGCGGGTGACTTTCAAGAGGTATTCTATCGGTGTTTTGGCACGGCTTGCCAGGAAGACAATACAAAATTACTGGGACGAGTGAGCATTTCCGCCGCTCTAGAGCAAGTGGGGGTGGAAGCTTTCGGAATTCGAGACCGTACTGTGAGTTGCGAAAGCAATCTGAGAGCGCGGTTACAGCGGCCATTCATGGAAGCCACGATCTGCAGGAGCGATTGGGGAGCTGCATCGATCTTTGCCAAGCTTTTCGAGCATGACAGACGGGTCATATATGATGCCGGAAGGTTCTGGATATGGAACGGGACCACATGGGTATCATGCAACTCAGAAGCGGCGGAGCTCAAGAGCGCTTTCATGTACCACATGGGCAGAGTGAAGACGTTTTGGCTCAGATTCCTCGCAGAGATACAAAACAAACAGCTTGCTAAGGCAAAATGCACGAAGGAAGCCGACCTAGAGCAGCTTCGCGGTGCTCATAAGTCAATCGAATCTCCTTCACTGAAAGAGGACGTTCGCAAAGCAAAGGTCGCTGAGAGGGCTATCTTAAAATCATTCGAAGCATTCAAGAAAAAGACCACTCAGTCGGCCAACTGGCAAGGGCCGGATGTCGAGTCGGTGCCAATTGCAGGTCGATGCCTGGTTCCGCTGAAGGATCTGATCAAAGTCGAGAACTTTGCTAAAGAGCTCGATACTGCAAGGGATTACTTGAATACATCATCTGGCGCAATACATCTACCGACAGGCAATCTCATACCCCATCATCCAAGCAATATGCTGTCAAAGGAGTGTTCGACGGAGTACGAGGGGCATGCATATCCGTCCCCACTAGTAGACGATTTCATGCAACAGATACAACCGCCGGAGACGATGCCCGTTCTGCAGATGACTCTCGGCTATGGCATAACGGGGCATTCTAGAGAAAAA